TATTCCCGATAAAAGTGGTCACTGCGGCCGAACCCGAGGTCACAGGACAATATAAATTACATATTCGGACTCAGCATTGAATGGGCTTTCATTTCCAATCAACAAATCAAAAATGCCAGCTTAGGAAACTCGTAATGCTTTTATGACAGTATCCTTTAAAACTGTTATAAAATCTAAAACAATTAGTTTAACATTAGGAATTTATAAATTATAATATATCGGCTCACATTGAATTAAGTCAATTATTTTCTTAAATTATTTATTTTTAATTATTTAATTTAAATCATATGAATGCTTTGATAGCAAATGGAATCGCGTCTATATTGAAACTTGTGTCCGGTATATAAGCTTATTTGCCTAAACCATTACATCAAGTTCAATACATTGTATTTGTATTTAGACTTGATTCCCTTTGCTATAAAAAAAATAATAATACATTCAATTTATTCAATGAACTTGTCAATGAAATAATACAAATGAATAGTAGTTAAAAACAGTCATTTAAAAGTTTTACAGATTTGTTATAATTTTTACAATTTCTTACATTGAATGGCAAGTGATTAAAAATATTTATACAATAAAATAAATGTTTATCGGATTTTGAAATTCTATTAATAATAGTTTTACATTTGATACCATGTCTTGATGTTTCGTAAAACTCAACTCAACCCTATCAAACGGTTCATATAATAATAACTAACTTTTACTTTAATAAACCCCAAATTTATATTAATTCAAATGGATTAGTATACATATCACATAATATTAAAATTATACAGTTTGCTTTAGTAGATTATGATTAATTATATCATATAAAATTTAATTCTAGATTTTATGTAACATAACTAAAATTAAGTTTACAAACTGTTTTTAAAAATAAACTAATTATTTAATTTTACAAACTATTTAAATAATAATCTAATGGATTACGCATCGAGATATAACTTTTCTATACAAAATTACTTATAATTATGTTTACTATTATACAGCGAATTAAATAAAATAAAAATTTTGTGAATTAAATTTTAAAATTTATTTTATAATTATGAATAATATCAATGAAACATACAAAAAGTGATACAAAAATATAATAATCATTAAATTAAACTTTAAATTTTATAATAAAAACACAATTGATGACAACTTATTAAGTAAACCCATTTATATAAATCAATTTAAAGTACCAAGTGCTCATAATGGTGCTAGTAACAAAATATTAATAATAATCTCCCAAATAATCATCAATTAAATAGACCCTGCTAAGCTGATCAATTAGGCTTTACGAGCCGAATACTTTCGCCTACGGAAATAGCAGGCATAAATAACCCAACCTAGTAGGGCAACCCCCAAAAGTGTGCCTACTACAATCAGCAATATTTTCCACCAGGCCATTCTGTCGCACGAGTCGGACGGGTACTTTGAGCACTCCATGTCAATATTAGTTTTGAGCGCGGTCATTGCTATATTAAAGTTTTTGCGATCATTTTTGCCAGTACAATTTTTGCCAAGGTCCATTACGCACGAGTACCACTGGCGCTGGTAGCAACAGTGATCCCGTTCCCCTGTACTCGCTTTGTTGCGGTCGATATCCCAGTCCTCCTCGGCCTCTACCAGACACTGGGCTTTGAGGGTCTCGTTAGGGCACAGGGCGTCCGCAGCCCCGGCCCTATGTATGGCACATGTCGTGACGATTAGGGCAGTGATGATGTAATACATGGCGCACCGGTAGATGTTTGGTACTAGCGGTTAGTGTGCGAGCTGTAAATTAGTAATAAATATTTGAATGATACAAACAAATTGTCAGGTAACTTTTAACATTGGTTATGACACCACCGGAGATAATTTTATTTAAACAAGTTAATTTTAATATATATTTTATTAATTATAATAGAAATATTTGCTAGTTAATTGACAATTTATAAATTTTATTTTTTTAAATGGAACACTTTTAAAATACAATAATATAGATTTTTAATTATAAATAAACATACACATCTTATTACTAATAAAAATAGTTAATCCATATTGCATTTTCTAATGTAAAAGGTATGTTATTATATTATATGAAAATAATGCACACCCTTTCCACAGTGGTATGTGCCGTGGAGATAATGGACAGGTAACATAAAACTGATTTATAATTTTTCCTTATAATAGCAATAAAATAAATGTTTATCACTCATAAAAGATTAAATAAAAATGTAAACTCAGCAATCATAGTTAAAGGTATTAGTAAATCATTATCAAACATATAACTAAATGATGTTTAATTAATAATTTATTTTAATAATTTTAATTCTCAAACTTTTATTTTTGAATGATTGTTAAAACAAATTTAAAATAAATATATAGACATTAATCAATTAATAAACGAGATTTTGATTGACACATGTATGGACGCGGGTTATCATAATTTTTGTGAATTATGTTCAGTGTACATTATACCAGTATTTGATAAATTATACGGCAGTAATACTGAATCTAATGAATTTAAGCTAGTATTTAGGTTATCATTATACATTTTATTATTATTTATATTAAGTCTAAAAATATTTATTTATTTTTCTAATCAATAATATTTCATATATTTATAACTATACTATTTTTAATTTAAATAGATTTTAGAGTTATTTTAATTAATGTTTATGTAGTAATGAATTTTTTTAAAAGTTAAGTAATAAAACAAAAAACTTTTAGTGTATTTATTGATAAACGTGTTGATTAGATAAGCACACGCCTAAACATACCGGTGCTCTTCAAACGACTGCACATAATATACTCATGACTTCATAAATATTAATGAGAAAAATATTTCATTTCCTTTAATTACACATAAAATTCACGTTTGATTTCAAAATAAGTAAAATATTTTTATATACGAAAACTAATTATAGAAATACTTTTATTAAAAATATTATATAAGTCCCAAAAAGCTGTAATTAAAAATAAAAAACTTAATATAATTGTACACTGAACCTTTTGGTTAAACATTTGGGACCTCGACATCAAGAAAAGGAAATTAATAAAATATTAATAAATTTTTAATTAATAATTATTTAATACACAATTATTAATAACATTTTTAAAAAATTAATTTTTATCACAAAATATCTACTAGCCTACATTTTATTTATTATCTACCTTATTGAGTAGAATTACTATTATGAGCACATGTAGCTTATGATATAAAATGTGGTATACCTGTATGGGCTTAAAGGGAAGGGTGTATCCCTATACAGGTATATACTATTAGGATGTTTGTTTAAATTATTAAAAACACGTTGTTAATTAAAAAATTAAAAATATTATTTACCTGTTAATACAATGGTATACAAGTAACACGTATTCCCGGTTAATACATAAATATAGCACACAATTAAAATAATAAACTAGTTCACTAGTTAAATAATTTAAAATAAACAATTTATTAGTATAAAAATATTCTTGTTTTCAAAACTCAATGTGTTTTCAAAAATGTTTTATCATTTAAAATATTTATTACTATTAAAAAGCACTGAAAAATATTTAATATGTTTTTATTATTAATTTTTTTATTGCAATTCAATACACAATACGTATGTATTTAGCGGTCGAGACGTGTGTGTAATGAGTGTTACGCTTATAATCACTGATAGGTCTCCCAATGAATGCCTATTTTTCGCCATATTTTACGAAATATACTGTAGTTTTCATATCATTACTGATTATGTGTTTTTGTGTGTTTAATCACTACACATGAGAAACATATAATAAAATAAATACGTTTTGTTTTCAACATGTATGTCCCATAACAACCAGGATCATTAACTCGTGTATAATTAATTAAAGCTATGGTATCTAATAATGTATTAAATTAGATTTAATTTTTTTAAAGTAAAAACTGTAATTATTATAATGCATAAAAAAATTATTTACTGAAATTGATTAATTTAATACAAATTGGCGAGAATGCAACCGACGGTAATTTTTATTATTTTAATATTAATTTTATTAAATATTTTTATTTTGTTCATTAGAAAATTTTTTCTAAATATTAGAAATTCATAGTTTGTTGTTTTATGCTTGATACTATTTAGAAATTTGATGAAACACCTAAAATGAAATACATTAACATACGAAATCTCTGATTAAAAACCTGGGTTCTCTCTCCCCTTTATTTAAGAGAGAGAGAGAGAGAGAGAGAGAGACTTAAATGATTCACATTTTAGTGATAAAAGCAAATAATTTATTATTATTTACAAAGTACTCGAACTTTGCATTCATTTTATTTTCCCAGTCTTTGTCTCCACACAATTCACTGTGTTTTTCGAAATTACTTTTGTATCATAATTACAACAACTATTTAACTCCATTACACTCAACATTATAAGCTACTATCATGAAAAATGTTACCATGGTTATACAGTGCAAAAAAGATATTAATATTATAATTTCTAACTTTATAATTCAATAGTGAAAATTTACATTTAAATATTTTATTCAAGAAAAAAACTATTTTTAAAACAATAATTTTGAGGTTTAATTCCAATATTAACTTTTTTCTAGACCAGAATTTACTTAAATATATATTTTGTATTTTAATACAGTTTATAATATAAACTTTATATAAATTCAAAATAAATAATTTAAAAATAACTTTAAAATATATTTTATTATAACATTACATTAACTTTAATTTTTAAAAAATAATAAACAACTAATTATAAATTTTAAATCCCAGTATTATCCCTAATCCAATTGCGGTACTTTCCCACCCTGGTATACACACCAGGTTGGTGTGGTTTGGCACAGTCCAGTCCCCATGATACAATACCCACTAATACCCCATTGTATTTAGCCGGGCCACCTGAATCATCCTAACAAATAAATTAATAATATTAAATAACAATCAATATAATTTACATAATAGTATCTAGCACACTTACCGTACAAGCATCCATACCACCCTGGTCATACCCGGCACACGACATATTTTCCGTGATATCATACATTGAGTAATCATTGGCACAGTCAGCCCTATAAACTACCGGTACGTCCACTGTCTGTAAAGTATCTGAGTCTACGCCACTGCCATCTATAAGGTAACCCCAACCCGTGACAGTTATCATTGCACCAGGCTCCATGTCTGAATCCTGATCAGGTAAGGCTATTTTATCCATTATCCTAGTGCCAAGTGGTATCTCGGTAGTAAACTTGATCAGGGCAATGTCGTTGTTATTTTGAGCGCCGTAATTGAATTCCGGGTGGACTATGTTATCGGAAATTTCAAAATCAGTACCCGGCTCAGCGTGTTTTAATGTACCACAACGAAGTTTGTAGTTGGCGGGTGCGCGCCTGGTTATTTTATAATATAAATTTAAGATTACTAATTTATTTTTACAAACCTGTAATAATGTATTAATTATTATCTTATTACTTAAAGTTGATATTTATATTTTTAAAAACTGATTTAATAACTAAATTGAAATTAATAGTCATTTATAAACCTAATGAATGTAGTATATTATTTTTTTAAAACTGTAAATAGATTTTTATATAATGGGGAAAATAAGTGAAATAATAAATTAAAATAATGATGGCCAAATATAGAACCTCTTTCATATTTGTTTTAATATAAATAATTATTTTATTTCCAAGCACATCTTATGACAAGATTTTTTTTATAAATGTGAATAATAATATAATTTAGCTAATTTATTGTTTCCTTTAAAAGTCACTAAATATTTATGTATTTATAAATTTGTTTACCATGTATAAACTTACCCGCTGACACAATGGGCGGCTGTTACGGCGTACTGGCTACTAATTATTGATGCACCACAAACGTGATTTCCTTGATATTGTAGCGAGCACATATGGGGGTTTTCACCTGGTTGAGCATCTCTACCTCCTACAATATTAGGAGTTTTAATTTTATAAACAGTGACATTTGAAATTTTAGTATGATTATGATGCTGATGGTTATGTGGTAGACCTGAACACCACCCTGTATAAAAAATTAAACAAGCTAAAGTCAATATAAATATTTTCATGTTTATAATTAAATTATTAAATTAATTTGGGATTATGTGCAGGCACTGTTTTTATAATAAGTGTATGTATTATCTACCAAATATGATTAGGTAAACAAATAGGAAATCTTGTTTGATCGAGCTGATAAAATAAATTTAATAATATTGTTGGTTATAACTTATAAGCAATTCATAATTTTAAAATGACCTTTTAAAAATAATAATAAATATTTCTCTAAATTAATTATTTTAAATTTTAAATATGTTTAAAAGTTTTAGTTTTTGTGCCTTAAAAATATGTAACATAATAGACCATACTCATATTGTTACGTTTCCGAGAGTAAATTGTTATTACACTGAGAATTAACATCTGGGATATAGACCTAGTTGAAGTTTGTGTTTGCAGACTTTAAGTGTTTAAATAAATTTCAATTATTCTTAAGAAAAAGTGCAATACACATTTTGAGATCGGTATTTTTAGATAGTGCATACATTATTTTTATCTTAAATTATTATATTTTCATTTATAGTTATAAATTAGTTACATGACAAATATCATCACCTTTTACATGTAACCCTGTACAAATCATATTTTCGGTGTTAATCTTATGTGCATTATACTGGTTGACACAATCATGTCTATCCACTAGAGGCACGTCCACTGTTTCCACGCACGCGGGGCGGGGCGAAGAAGTCAATCCCTCATCCACTGACCAGGGTATACATTATAAAAATATTTTGTGATACTCATATAAATATATTATCTTTCATTTGCATTTTAGTGCGATTTTTACTAATATATTCAATCAATAAGTGCTTTTATTTTTGAATTTACATTCAATTCCTTAAATAATACCACCTACTAATTTAATTAATTAATAATTAATTAATTATAATTTACATAGACCTCACTCTCTTTCATGTGTCACAATATATTATGCACTTAATAAAAAAGGGAGAGAGATACATGCCGAAATAGTAACTAGTTATTTAAAATTATATGATTAGGTACAATATTAATATAATTTACAATTTATTAGCAAAACAATTGACTTTTAGTTATATTAATAAATATTATGTTAATTATTTTTTAACAAATATTTATGATAATGTTTTACATTATATGCTAGTTATATAATTTTATCATTTTGAAATTATTAATTTAAAATTACAGTTACAAAACAAAATTTATTATAAATACCTCTCTCAATAAACCACAATCTAATTTATAAACGGTTAATGAGTAATTTCCTCTTAAAATTTAATTAAATTACACGTTGTAAAATTATAATTAATAAACTAAATATTTATAAATAGAAATGCAAACAATCTTTGATAATCCTTTAAATAAAATGCTGTGTTATTCTTATAATTTCATTATAACTTGATTAAATTATTTTAAATTGACAAACCGCACAAATTTTATCTGTGTTTTTATTTCTAGTATAATTTGTTTTAGTTAATATTATTGGGTACAACAAGTACTATTAATAATAAAATTAATAATATACTTATTCATTTTGTACAATTTTAAATTATTTAATTTTATTCAAACTCCAGAATTTTCCCGAATCCAATTCCTATACTGTCCCACTATTGGGTACAACAAGTACTATTAATAATAAAATTAATAATATACTTATTCATTTTGTACAATTTTAAATTATTTAATTTTATTCAAACTCCAGAATTTTCCCGAATCCAATTCCTATACTGTCCCACCCTGGCATATATACCCGGCTGATGTGGTTTAGCGCATTCAAACCCCATTGACACGATACCAACTAGCACATTATTATATTTAGCCGGTCCACCTGAATCATTCTAAAAATAATTAAAATTAAATAATTAACTAACCATAATAACTATAAATGATATAACTAGGTCACTTACCGTGCACGAATCCTTACCACCCTCGTCATATCCGGCACACGACATATTATCCGTGATATCATGGAAAGGGTAGTCATTCACGCAGTCAGTCCTCAAAACTGCCGGTAAGTCAACCGTTTGCAGGTTATCGGCGTTAACACCACTTCCACTTTGAAGGTATCCCCACCCGGTCACTGTTATCATAGCACCAGGCTCCAAGTCTGAACCTTGGTCAGGTAGTGAAATTTTGTCCATGCTACCTGTACCTAACGGTATTTCGCTAGCGAGTTTGATTAATGCAATATCGTTGTCCATGTAAGCACCATGGTTGAATTCAGGGTGTACTATGAATTCGGCGATATTAAAGTCAGTACCCGGCTCAGCGTGTTTCAATGTACCGCAACGCAGTATAAATTGTGCTGGATCATGTCTATATTTTTAGAAATATTTTAATAGAAATAAGTAATATATTATGACATTATGTTTTATTAAAATAGTTATTATAACTTGTTTATTTTTAAATTTTGAATTAAATTTATCTTTCTAAATCTAACTACTTGATCAAGTTTATTTTTATTAAAATATTATAGGAAAAACTATTTTGACATTAAACAAATACATTGAGTTTTACATTGTCACATTTAAAAACTTTTAGTTCAACTTACAGTTTTTTAAAATTACAAGTATAATAGTATCTTAAATATTTTTGAATAAAAATGAAAACTACCCTTTAATAAATAACAAATATATTAACCTGGATACTTACTCACTGACACAATGTGCAGCCGTAACCACCCATTGGGCACTGATTATGGACGCACCGCAACCGTGTTTGCCGTCCAACTGTAGGGAACACATGTGAGGGTTAGCCCCCGGTTGGGCATCACTACCCCCTACAATATTACTATCAGTTTTGTTATATTTTAAATGGTGTTGATGTGACCTGGGTAGGCATTCACACCAATTAATATTTATAATTAAAAATGTTAATATAAAATATAAATACATTTTTAAAAATTTTATTACTTGTATTAAAAGTACTTTTGTTTTTATACTGTACAATTATCTATTTGGATAAGTAGTGCACTGGTTACATAAAAGTATTGTAATTGGAAATTGTATACGGTATTATAAAAGTTATCAACATGATTAACAGTTTATCAATGTACCATAATTTTGGTTACCAACCCCCTACCCGTCCACCTGAACTAATATCAAATATGTTTTTAAATAGTAAAGTGTGCAAAATTGTTTAAAATATGATAAGGGTAAAACGGGTATATCACCTTGGTGTATAATATTTATTTAAAAAATATTTTTATTTTAAAATTATGCTTACATTTTTATAAATTATTATTATTATTAAAAATTAAGTAACAATAATATTAGATAATTTGAAATGTACATGTGATACTTGAATTCAATAAATAAAATTTTACTAATACTTATTGGTAATATAATTATTTAATTCAGATTACAGTTCATATTTAATATTGTTATTATTTTAAGTATTACTTTCTATCAATTTCTAAATAATATATTATAAAGGTAATCTAAGAATTAGCTCAAAAGATTAGCTAGTTTGAATTACTTTTAAAAATTATTTAGATAGTACTCAACAATTATTACACATTTTCTATATTATATGCTGCAATATATAAATGATAATTATCGAGCTCATAAGAAATCAATTACAACTCGTACCTTTTATATGATTAAACGTTTATGTTCACAATAAACCTGGATTACTTTAAATGTTCGATAGAATATACGATAAAAACATAATAATAATAATACTGTACTTCAATTCATAAAATAATGTAGTATGGTTTATGTAATTAGTACTTGATCACTTGCTATTCATTTATAAGTACAGTACAAGTATACATTATGGAATTTTATTCAAATATTTGTTTGGAAAATTAAAAAATATTATAATATATTAATTAATTAACATTTTCTTCCATAATATCTAGCTAATTTTTAAAATAAAAAAGTATGTCTAGGACTCAAAAGAACTAACTCACTAACTAATCCAAATACAAACTAATTATAAAAGATTTGTTTAATTAGTTTTAATTTAATATAAAATTACAGTTTGTTTTCATAACAATTAACTTATATTTTAATTAATAAGTATCATGCAATTTATTTTGTAACAAATATTTATGTTTATAATTTTAATATATAATATTCTTAGATATTTTAATATAAATTAAATCATACATCTGAATTTGTTGTAATCCATGCTCGATAGTTGCCAACTTTTGTAAATACACCGGGGTATAATGGACTGGCACATTCATTACCCCATGATACTATGCCTACTAATAGCTTGTTCATTATGACGGGACCACCAATGTCATACTTATATTATATAAGTTATATAAATCAATACAAATTATTAATTAAAATAAAAAAATATTTTTTCAGCTATACTTACGTTACAAATATCATCACCAACTACATGTAACCCTGTACAAATCATATTTTCAGTGATAATCTTATATGAATTATACTGGGTGATACAATCAAGTCTGTCCAATACAGGTACTTCCACTGTTTGTAAATTAAGTGATAAATCCCCTGTATATCCCCACCCAGTTAATGTGACAATGGTATCAGCAGGAACATCTGAACCTTGCTCAGGTAAGTCTATTTTATCGGTGTCATTAGTGCCTAATTCGAGTAGTCCATCTAGTTTGAGCAAGGCGATATTATGCTCACTGATTTGATTAAATGTGTCATACAAAATAACCTGGCTAACATTGAAATCTTTATTATGTAAACCACATTGGATAGTCACTTGAAACAAATCTAGACTATAATGTAATAATAGCAAATATTAATTTTTATTTATTTAAACAATGTTAATAAATTTAATTAAGGTAATTACTAGAGAAAGCACATGGATAATTTTGTTTAAAAATGCTTACCTATTAATACAATTAGCAGCCGATAGTACGTACTGTTCATTGATGATAACACCACCGCAAAAGTGTTGGCCATTATTGTGCAATGAACATAGATATGGGGCGCAAACATGGCTAGCACCATGGTCATTTGGTTCCAAGGGTAAACATGTATGCGACACCGAGTTTACAAATAAGCATGTCAAAAATAATAATGGCATTTGCATTTTATAAATAATTTATAAATAATAATTATTAGCTAAAAATTTTAACATTATTGTAGTAACTAGTTAATGCACTGTATATGATAAAGTTTCATTAATTCAAAATTGGTAAATAATTAAACTCAAGGTAATTCAAATATCATTAAAAATCATAATTATTCATTTATTGCATAACAGTATACATTGTATTAAAAACTTTAAGTGGAGATTTAACAATAATCAAATAATTGCACGCAATGTAATTTAATTTTTCTATGCTAACTAGTAAGTATTTTCATCACGATAATTAATCTTTTATTTATTGTTGATATGAAGGTCATTGTTTATTTGTGTTAATTTTAAATGCAAATAAAATATAAAACTCAAATATATGTTGACAATGTTAGAATCTAACTAAAAATATTGACCTAAACATTTTAGGCTAAAATATGTATTTAAAAATTAAAATATCATTTACATTAACAAGATAATTTAAATACAAAATTATCTACCCGTCTGCTTAATTCCAATAAATTAAAAATTATAAACATTTTCTAGTAAATATTTGTATTTGTAATATAAATTACAGTTTAATAAATTATTATACACACATTATTATAATACTTTGAAAATAATAATTATTAATGTACTAGTTAAAATCTGACTCACATTGAGCTCATAAATTTAAAAATAAATCAAATATCGGATAGCTCATTCCAATTTATTATTGATTTTCAAAACAATATACAGCATTTATTTACTTGTTTATTTTCATTACAGTTTGTTTCAAGTTAAAATTTGAATTTAATTTTTGCGCATTTATTCATCCTAATAATTGTTTTAATATTTAACTTTATCTTTATATTTTTAATAAATATTACTATTTTTCAAACAGCCCACATTGTTTGTTTTTAAAAATTGACCTTACACCCCAGTATTTGTTTTAATCCAATCGCGATAATTACCAACCCTGGTATAAACACCGGGATACAATGGCTTAGCACATTCATTGCCCCACGATATTATGCCCACCAGTACATTGCTCACTTTAACTGGGCCACCGGAATCGTACTAAAAATAAATAATTAATTTAAAAATTAAAACTATCATACAACATTATAATTTCATTAAACCCTACTTGACATGCATCCTTGCCACCGGCATCTAACCCTGCACATATCATATTTTCGGTAACAGGGTTATAGTCCTTATACTCATTAACACATTTAGGTCTGTCCACTACGGGTACGTCCACTGTTTGTAATGTAGGTGATAAATCTTTGCCAGTAAAGTTTAGATAACCCCAACCAGTTAATGTGACCAGGGTCTCAGCTGGTACATCTGAGCCTTGCTCAGGTAAGTTTATTTTGTTAATGTCTTGTGTTCCTAGCTCAAATTGACCAGTAATTTTGAGCAAGGCAATGTCGTTATCGCCGTATTGGTCAAAGTTTTCATGTTGAATTGCCTGGCTAATTGTATAATCTTTACCAGGTGATGCATGTAATAGTGTGCCACATCGAACAGTTAGTTTTGTTACGTCCAAGCTAAAATTTTAATATTAGTATTAAAATTAATTACCAGTTATATAATTATTAAACTTTTAATTAGTTGGTATTTAATTATATAATTTATATTACAGTTATTTTTAGGTAAAAAAATATATTTTTAATCAATGCATAATATATTACTGATCGACTCCAAAAATACTAAAAACATTAATTTATACAATATATTTTATTTATTTACTTTAGCATACAGTTTATTAATAATTAATAATAATAATAACTTACCCTTTAATACAGTGGGCAGCAGTTAGTAGCCATTCCCCACTAATAATAGCAGAACCACACATGTGTTTACCATTATATTGTAATGAACACATGTGGGGATTATCACCAGGTTTAGCCACCGATCCCCCTACAATATTTGGCTTATGTGGATGACGAGATTGTGAACAAGGTAAACATAAACATAATGTAACACTTAATATTAAACATGCTAGCTTTAGTTGCAAACGCATTTTAAAATTATTATTTTTTGGATAACTAAAAGTTCACTAGTTTCATTTATATAATTTTTCTAATTATGTTTTAAACAAAAGAATTATTGTGAATAGGTGATAATAAAATTAACAATAATTGTTATCCTTTATCACACAAGTTAAGCAATATTTTATAAATGAAATTGATAAAATAATAACTATTAATAATATTACTATTTCAATGTAACTTACAAGTTTGTAGCAATAATATGGTATTGAACATCCGATGTGCAATTGGGAAATAGTTTTAAATATTAAATGCTTTTCTATGCTAATTAAATAAAAATATAGAAATACACTATAAAACTCATACAAATATATTTAATATATTTAGTAATGGGAAAGGAAATAAAATAGATACACATGGTATAGTTAGTCCTGTTTTATAACGTAACAAATAAAATAAAATAGCTTTATTTAATTCATAATTATGCTACAGTTTAAGAATTCAATTTAACCATTTATAATATTTTTTTTTTCTATGATAATAATTATTACACGTAATTGTATAAATTGATTATTTCACTTATTTTTATTAACCTTTATAAGAGTAAAATAAACTATTAAAAATGACATTAATTTATTAATAGCAATATAAATAAAAACTAAAATTATTAAAAATTGTAAATTGCTATTTAAGTGCAATTTTATGTTTTATATTTTTAAATAGACATAATTGTATAATAATTATATCATATTTAAATTTAAATAATTATAATTATATTTATGATTGAATATACAAATTTTATATAAATAAAGTGATTAAATCAAACTTTTTTATATTGCAGAAATTGATTATACTTTATAACCCGGAATTTGTCCTAATCCAATTACGATAGTTGCCCACTCGTGTATAAACTCCTGGCAAAAGTGGTCTAGCACATTCGTGACCCCATGATATTATGCCCACCAATACGTTATTGAATTTTACCGGACCACCTGAATCACTCTATATCAATGTAAATGAATTATTACTATTTAGTTATCTATGAAGGCTTAGTTTAAATAATATAAAATTTAAAACAAATATTTAATGTAAAAAACTGTTAATCTATATTATTTAATAGATTTATATTATATAAAATTAATTATTTTATAAAATTTGAAAGTAGACGGAAAATTTTAATAATATATTTACTTTATTTTATTTAGATATACCTAGCTGACTATAAATTCTTGCGTATAGTTAAACATTTTAAAAAATATTTCTAATTAGTTTGTAATTTTAAAAATTATCCCTAATTTTACTGCGAATACATAATATTTTTAATTAATTAATTAAACAAGATCATCAATTTACTCACTTGGCAAGCATCCTTACCACCGACATCTAACCCTGCGCAAATCATATTGTCGGTCACGTGATTATACTCCCGGTACTGATATACACATTTAGATCTCTCGACAACCGGCACGTCCACGGTTTGCAATGTAGGTGCCAGGTCAGTGCCGCTGTAATCAAGGTAACCCCAGCCAATCACTGTTACCACTGACCCTGGTGCAATATCTGTGCCTTGGTCAGGTAAATTAATTTTGTTCATGTCCCGAGTGCCTAGTTGAAACTCGTCATTGATTTTGAGCAAGGCAATATCGTTGTCACCGTACTCGTCAAAGTTTTCATGAATAATGGCCTGGCTAATTGGGTAGACCCTACCTCGGGTAGCGTGTAGTAGTGTACCACATCGGACAGTTAGTTTGTTTATGTCCACCCTATTAAATGAAAATTATTTGTAAATTAAAATTTATCACTAATTAATATAAATTTAGATTAAAAAATCTAAATTACAAATTAAACTTGATATTTATTTAAATAATAGATAAAATGTTAGATACAAAATGTAATTAGTAATACCTATTGGGTTCCTAGACCAAATTATTATTTTTATTAAGTTTATGTATTTTAGGTTTCTTGTTTAGTAAAATATTACAGTTTAATAATAAAATTGTTTAATTTATTTTGCAAATAAATATACATAACTGTAATTATTTATTAATAAATAATTTATATTTCACATTAATAATTAAAGTTTAATTTCCATAAACTATATACAAACTACTGTATATACTTTGTATCATTTTTATAATGTACTCAAGATTTTATGTATTAATCAACACTCGTTATGATTAATAAATTATTCATTCATTCATTCATACAAAATGTGAATTAATTAAATTAACAAACAAGTGATATAATCCATTAATAATTATTTTTATATTAAAAGTTACACTAAAATTAAAATTTATTCATATTTACAGCTCGAATTAAAATATTAAAATTTATTTTAAAAGTTTTTTCATTTTATTAATAATAATGTCCCTAACATTGAGGGCTACCTATCGGTCAACATAATAACTAACATACCCTTTAAGACAATGGGCAGCCGTGAGCAGCCATTCCCCGCTTATGATGGCTGAGCCACACCAGTGGCGCCCTTCGTATTGTAGTGAACACATGTGGGGATTGTCCCCACGTTTGGCGTCATCCCCGCCCACTATTTCCTGAGTGTGCGGGCACTCCACCACTCGGGACATACACGTGCCCGCCGTTAACACTAGTATCAGGGTAAGTGTAGTTAACATTATTTTGTGGTGTTTTAATTTTTGTGACAAAAATATAATGTATGTACTTTAGTGGTAATAAAATTTGTTATATCTATTATTACTGCATTGTGTGCTAGCTATGTTATCTAACATAGAGATTAATATAAGGTATTTATTAATTAAGGTAAAGTCCATGTGAGTGGGACGGGAGGTTGTTGTGTGTAATGATACTTGTTATTTACTTGTTAGCTAATAGATAATTAACTTATAACTAACAAATATGACTTTTTTATAAATCAAATTGAGATGTGTAAGTTATGTGACATTGTAATAAAATGGTTCATAATTTGAAATATTTATAAATAAATGTTTCAAATAATGTGTAAGATTTAAATTTTGTATATAAAATAGATGGATTTAATTTTATAGCCAAATAGTTATGACACAATATTTCCATAATATTATTACTTTACAAATTAAATAAATTTTTAGTAAATTCTGTATGGTATTGCAATTAATTTGTTGATAAATACTCATAATCTAAATTCAATAAGATTAATATATTTTTTCATGAGTACATGCGTTACTAAAATTTTGAAATAACTGATAATTTATGATTACAATATTATTATTTACTTTTATTTTTAAAAGAATTAATTTTTAAAATCATATTTACTTAAACTGTAAAATATATTTAATAAACAATTTATATTACAACAAAATAATTTTGTTTTTTAACTTTTGGAAACCGACGGAATTTGAGTTTTAATTTTTGATGTTTAATATTTTAGATTAACACCAGGATACTGTGTAGTGTAACCGGACCTCAAATATTTGACTTGACATTCAAGTATTTAGTGTGTTTTATCACGTGACAGGGCAATGGGGGTAATACTAGACATTATAGTGACAAGTGTTTTAATGTTACATAAAATTATTAATTAAACAATGCGACCAAATTGCAAAAGACAAACATGAATCACGTGATTTTTTTATTAAATTAATATGTATGATTGGAAAGTAAAAAGGCCTCCGAAGTTTTATACACTTGTATTTCTTTTTGTGCTTGAGTCTATTTGTAGGTTTTCGCCTTACACATTGCTTACTAACTATTCGTATGAATATTAGGCACACTAAAAAAAATATTTAGAGGCCTTTTTACTTTCCAGTCATACATATTATATCGAACTTTAAATTTAGATTAATCTAGTGCATTTGTTTCACTAATTAAGTCAATATAATTATTACAATTACAGATAACTAGTGTATTATTATACAATATTCACGTTATATTGCCGCGTGGAGCG